GGAACTCAACAGCTTGACTAGGACCGACAAAATAGCGAAAAAATCAGTCCGTTTGTGTTTTTTGACTTATTCTTGGTTCGACTCGATCTGACAACATTGGATCCACAAAAATGGTGTGCTAGCTGTAGTATTCGACTATCGCCCACTGCTCACTCTCACATATTCAGATAGATTTCTGTCAAAATTGATTTGGTGAACGCTTTTCCCTTTCCCGACACAAATCACTTCACTAACCTGTTATGGCTAGTTGTTCGCACGTGAAACTAATTTTTCAAATTTCACACTCCTTCTTAACCCTGAGCGGTTGTAAGTTTCACATAGATGAAGTAGTAGTAGTAGTAGTAATAGTAGTAGTAGTAGTAGTAGTAGTAGTAGTAGTAGTAGTCACGGACGTCACGCAAGCACTCGACCACACTGGCACTTGCACACAATGTCCCACCCAGGTGACTAAAACTTGAGGCTGAGGCCACAGCAGTAGTAGTGCGTCTATTGATATAAATAAGGGGGATTAAATAATATGTACAAAACAAACTCATTGGTGATCCGGGCTTCTGTCAATCACGTGCTAGTATTTCTGGCATTATTCAGCCTCTGTCTGAGCCGCACGATTTCTGATTGGCTGGTACAATTGACCTATGGTACATAGTGCAGAAGCAGTGGCACGCACGCGCTTTGTTGATGTCAACTGTGAAGTTCGATTGATTGTAGTTGTCCTAAAACTGTAACGTATCGCTGCAGGGTATGCGTCATCTCGTAGGCTGGGATCACCACAATATATTCCGTCTCTTCCGGTAATTAAAGTAGCGTTTCCATGCTGCACTGAATTTGTGTGTTTTACACATGCCTGACATATGTGCATGGGTGACATGAATCTTTTGTGATGGAAGTACATTCGATAGATTTGCTTATCTCCTTTCGTTTACCCATTGTATTCGAGTGCTCACCAGTAGACAAGCATCAGTGTGTGTGTGTGTGTGTGTGTTAGTTTGTTCCAGTTCATCATCCAGTTATGAAGTTCTCAACAAGTTAACTTATCATCCTGGCTACTCACTTTTTCTCTATCGCCTGCTGCCTCTCTCTCTCGCTCACACACACACACACACACACACACACACACGCAGACAACCGCACTGTATTCAACAGTAGCACCGTTGTGTAATCTGTGAGATTACCCAGCTCCACAATGGATATGCTGGGAGTGAGTGAGGTAAGGAGATAAGGTAAGAGAGTCGAGTCCAATCTTATTTTATCCCAACGCGATAAACACATCTTTGTGTGTCCAGTGTACCTCACCGTCGTTCTCGATCGGGTACTCAAGAAACTACTTTCACCGTTTGGCATATGGCCAACTGTGGAGTACTTGAGACAAGCACGTCCCGTGCTCACAGAATCAAGTTTCCCAATCATGTGTGCTGAATGTGGATACAGTCACCCGTGCCAACTCAGTATGATATTGAACTGTAGAAAGCCCTGGGGGGAGGAGGGAGGGCGTCTGAATGTCGTTGGACATCAAGTTGATTTTATCAGAGTAGTTACCGCCCAACGCATGAATTTACTCAGAGCATAATCATTATATAACACGGTTTAAATCACCCGGGTTTCGTATTCATTCATCGAATAGTCACTGGCTGTAGGCGACTTTGTTGTGATAGAATTAGTCAGATAGAAAAGGTCGGAACATTTTAGAGAACATCACGAACCTGAAGATTGCACTCTAAGCCATAGAGTGGGATAGGTGCAAATATTATACTATCTCAGAAATGGGATTATGCTACCATCGGTTGTCCAACCCTCACTTGTTAATAGAGACTGCCAGCTTTTATACCGGCAATCTAAACCTTGGAGTAGGTGTAGTGGTTGTAGTAATGGTAGTAGTAGCACTCAATGAACACGAAATACCAATCACGGATTACGAATCACTGATTAGACGTCACAGACGTCACGTAAGCACTCGACCACACTGGCACTTGCACACAATGTCCCACCCAGGTGACTAAAACTTGAGGCTGAGGCCACAGTAGTAGTAGTGCGTCTATTGATATAAATAAGGGGGATTAAATAATATCTGTCAATCACGTGCTAGTATTTCTGCCATTATTCAGCTTCTAGACTAAACCTGACAGGAAGCGAACTATTTTCTTTGATGTGTTAGCACAATTCAGCCCCACTGGATCTCAACGAACTAGCTCTTGTAATACGCAAGCTCATTCGTGGGGTCTTGTTTTTCTGGGTGGGGTGAGGAGAGGGGGGCGATTTCAAAGTATATTCAGTTGTTGATCAGAAAATTTACTTTGTCTTCACACAGCTAGGAGAGAAATGGAACTTGTACTCGTCAACTGTTGATCTCCTTCGCCTCTCTTGCTCCCCCCTCCCCGAAGTTGAAATGATCGTGAAATGATCGTGTGATTGTCATTCATACACCATTATTTGTGATTTTTTTTTCAGAACTATGCATTAATCAAAAAAAGATGTGTTTTCTCTGACATGAGAATAATACACCATTGTAAACAATGGTGTCCATGGTAGCAATGAACCGGAAGTTTGTCACTCTCATTCTATCTGGTATCATAATTTTAGTGCGACAGATTTGTTCTGGTTAACTATCTTCCAACTGGGAACTATATGCTGCTGCGGAGATTCGAAACGAGTTAGCCCGTTCCAGTTCTGTCAAAGCAGTTGCAAATCCTTTGTACTCGTAAGAAATCGCTCACGAGTCCGCAATCACAGACAGCTCAGTGTCCATGTGTGTGTGTGTGTGTGTGTGTGCGCGCGCGCTTTCAGATGCGTGTGTGCTGGCGGGTGGGCATGTGAGCAGCCGGTATTCTTACTCCCATTTACTCAACAGTGCAATCATGTTCTTTGTTTTCTCTCTTTTTTTCTAGTTCTTCTTCTTTGACGACCGTTTTTTGTATTATCACGCCTTCCATTTGTTCTTCCAAAATCCGATCTCTTCCCTTTCCCATCCGGATGCTCCTCACCCCGTCTTTGAATATTTCTTCACAATTCGACAAAAATAAAACAATCAAACAGCCGAGAATCTGCCTCAACTATGGGAGACAGCCGAGCGTCAGATGAACCAGCGCTCTTCCGAATTGGAGATTGTGATCAGTGAGACACAACGCGTGAAAGAATTGGAACGTGAGGTTGATCGTTGGATCAATAAAACCGAGGCTGAGCTGGATGTGATTGATCATACACGGGAAACGAAAGCGGACAGTGCTGTACGATCTCCTAGACGATTTGTGCAAGGTCTGGATGCGAATCGAAGAAAACGTTTGCAGGTTCGATGAATTTCTCTTATTTATTGTGTTGTCTATTTGTTTTTTTTTTGACAACTTTGGTTTGTACTCTAAAAATGGGGAAAAATTGTCTGCTTCTGTCTGAAAGAGTTTAAATTCCATTCCCAATCGATCGTTCACTATGAGTAAATAATAATAGCAGTTTGATTTTATTTCTTTCATTTATTTATTGAGAATACAAGTGTACAGTCAGTTCTCAGGGGTGGAAGTGGGCTGTGACTAAACAAAAGCTGCCCACGGGGAGGGGGATTCAGAAATGGGGCAATGACCGCATTGATCATGTCATCCTCTTGACCACTGCCGAGCCCAAAACACAAGTTAATTTATCAACAACAGACGTTTTGCAAATGCTTAGGTGATTACCGTGCTTTGGTTCAAATTCCAATGAGCCTTTTTTACGATTGTATCATATGGGAAATATTTTTTTTTAAATCGGCCAAACAACGAGACTTAAAACTGGAATAATTATTCTCTGTTTCGGTTTAAGGATTTGTCCGAATGTCTTTCCGGTCCGGCCAAAGAAGCTTGGGCACAGTATCGAAGAGATGCAGAGGCTTTGATGAAACAATTCAAACAAGAGGATACGAGTAAACTGCAGTCGGATGTGGATACAGTGGAAAAGCGTTGGAAAGATTTACACGAAAGGTGAGATTCCAGATACACATGTGTGGGGAAAAATAACTGATCACTATTCGCCTCTCAAATATTCATAGTGTGCGACGTGTTTCGGTGAGTGGAGTATTTCGGAAAAATTAGGAATACGGTTATAATTCGATGAGGCAATCATCAATAAACCATTTAGGGATATCTTTATGTTCAGAACAATATTCCAAAATCTGTTACACCTTCACAAATCTGCCGAAGCGGCTATTAGTGAGATCCGATCGCACGGAACAGACTGGTCGAGGATGCACGTTAGGGACAATGGTTTTATTTGTACCATGCGGAGGAGGATCTCAATTCTGGTTAGATAAATAAATAAATAAATAGAACGAATTGGTCATTTAGGTGCCGCTACAACTCCTTTTTTTGTAGTGAAGACACTCAACAGTTAGTCGAACCATAAGCCGCAATAGCTTGGCGAACAAATTTGTTTCTAATTTCGGAGTGTGCTCACACTTGCAATTAGAATGAAATTTTTCGACAAATAGTTGTTTTCAATAATTCGCATGGAGGCCGTTACTCTTTATATGCGAGAATACAACTTAGGGATTAGGAGAATGACAGTGAAGTGTGAGGAATCGTTCACTTTGTGCATGCGTGTTGCATGCACATTTCTTCAGTTCTGCGCTTCCGGGGCTCTCGGTTACGTCATTATGACCCAGTTCTGATGGATCGGTGTTGTATTGTGTGGAAATGTGTACATGCTTGAAACGGAATTTCCCTTCAAGTAATGGTTACGTGCCACGTTACAAACAGCTGAACATTACAAGCACTGTATGGTTATATCATCTTTGTTAGAAATCATAAAGAATCGAACCCAGACGTGCAGGGCTACCCCGGGGCTGGGCAGTTCTAACATGTANTGTATTGTACTGTATTTTACCCACATCTGAATTCAAACTGTGGGCCAAAACAATCATGGTACAATAGTTTTTATGAAAGAGAGAAAGCTCCATGATCTTTTTGTGAGCGGAATACTGCAAGGTTACCCGGGCCAAGATAGGTGAATTTTCTTGAGGAATTATCAACCGGAGCCTTCGGCTAGTCAAAGCGTGTTTGAAAATCGCAATCCACTGGAGGCTGATGTCCATTTCATCAAATCGTACACCTTTTGAACGGGGTCAAACGGTCCAAGGTACCCAAATGTGTCGGTGACCATTGCCACAACCCAGATGTGAGCGAATGTAGTTCGTACAACTCTTCTTGGTTGTTTTGGAATCAGGGTTCTTTCAGTGAACTGCCAGTGGTTCACTAGCCCGGTTATAGCCCCGGATGTTGGTGGGAAAACACCTCCGACTCGAGGAGGAAATACTTTCTCAACAGAAGCCATTTGATACGCTTGGGCGTATAGGACCATTCCGTGAGCTGCGACGGGTGACCATTGGTATATTTGAAATGTTAGTACTAAATGATTGGGACCATTGATTAATTGCAATAGGGTGGTGATGGCTGTGAAGAGATGAGAGGAGAAACACGTTTGAATTGCCGTTTGGGAAACACTCGAAGTAGGAAGCAGCGTTCTTTGTTAGGGGATCAGGTGGCAGTTTATGTCTCTGTTTCTCAGTTACTTTGTGACCGGTTCAAGTATTGATGCCTAAATTGATTTTACGTATCTTTTCCGATGTGAATTGTTGTGCCCCTGGTTAAGTAGGTTGATAAGCGTACAGTCATTTATGCTGTGCGGTTATTGACGAGGGCTCACGTGTAACCGGACCATAGATTGGTGAGTACGCACAAAGGGGTAACACGTATGCAAGCGGACAGACAGGCCAGCAGCTGGCTCACGCGTCACACGACATTCGAATGCGGTCAAGCAGTCAAACAGTCAACCATTCAATCAAAGTGGACAGTCCAATACTAACGCCTGATTGGCTGGAGCCGATCGATATTGTGGTAGAGTCATTCAGCATGACGTGAGTGCGTGCATGTGTGTGAGCTGACGGGTATATCGGTTAATCAGTTGATCAATCAATCGATCCGGCCACAAGCAAACGGGCCGAACGTATCTGTCAATTTTGGGCCACGACAAAAACACATTTTTGGTTTGATCCATTGGATGATCGCTGTTTTTGCTGCTGCCATGAGGTGTTTTTGATGTCAAACTTTTGATGATTTTGCTGACCTTCTGTGGATCATACTCAGTACATTATTCCTGAGCTGATTTTCGGTGTCCCCGTGCACAATCAAAAAAGTTGAATAGAAAGTGGTCTACTCACATAACTGCTTGAATCGAAGATTAGCAATAGTGAAAATGAAATGGAATCAAATGAGATAAGGAAATGCATGAGTTAAGAGTCACGGAAACCGCATGCCGGTTGATGAATCTGAACACGCATGTATAAACCAACCGTTGGCAACAACCATGTTCCCTTCAAACGTGTGTGAAAGTCAACGCCTAGTGTGAATCAACAACTGAATAAAGATCAATTTCATTCGAAATCGATTGAGTGTTTGTTCAAATCAATTTTCCCCCAGAAGCGCCATAAACAAACGCCTTGTTCGACTCTCACCAAAACGAACTCTGTTATCTGGGCTCGCAATTCAGTTTAAATCCACTGGGAAAAGGAAAATGAATGCCTAAAACAGTTCAATTACCGAGCTGGTTGACAACTGTGGCTCAACTTGACAATGAACGAAAAATAATTCACTGAGGAGTTTCATATATTCTTCGCTTGTTCACTGATCGAGATCAGGGATTGGCAAACCGAGAACGGGACAAGAACATGAAGGTGATGATCAATGGGGCTGTTGCCCCATTGTTGTTGTTGTTGGGGCTGTTGTGCTTGCCCGTTCCGCGAGCCGAATTATCTCCTTTGTTGATCAGTCTCTTGCTTTAATGAAGTCACGTATCGAATGCCGGCGATTTTTGAGTGATAGTCACCCGAGGGAAACGGTTTTTTCTGACTAAAAACGGTACTATTCTCATTTTAGCTTTGTGTTATACTTTTTCAAATTCGAAGTACCCTAATTCTTTTCGATTAGCTGTAGGCAACAGAAAGAACATTTTTCGCAAGGTTGCTTTTCTAGTCCGAAATACGACAGACCACTAAGCCTGGTACCTATAAAAGAAAACAGTTCCGAATCAGCTTGAACTTGCCATCAGTTCTGTAGTATCAAGACGTGAAGAGTTTCAGATTGGTCACTGAGCCCCGCATGAGCAGCTCATTGTCATTGCCGCGTTCGGATTAGAAAAATTGCCAGTATGGTGGTGAGTCTCCTGGGTTGGGGCTGATTACCCTTCGTTTGCACCCCGCGAAATGGCCCTATACGACCAAACATCTAAAATAGCCTCTAAAGATCCCCTACTCACTACCTTCCCGTGGTGCAGGTGTTTTCCCACACAAGTGACAGGACCAAAAGTCAATATCCGAGACTATATCTGAAATCATTGGCAGTTCAGCGACGGTTGTTGGCCAAAAACCCTGATTCCAAACCAAGAGAAACCGCACAGGAGATACTCATCCACACCTCAGTTGTGGCAGTGGTCACCGACTCGATTGAGCATTGAGGTGTATTGGGCACCTCGGACGTTTGACCCGATGACTTTGATACCAGCCTCCAACGGATGGTGACAGTTCTCACACACTGTCTCACTTACTGCCTTACGGGTCAGGCTTTAGTTAGTCGAAGTCTCCTGTAGTTTAATTGCTCAGAAACATTCAAATGCCTTGACCCAGACAACCGGAAAACATGTATGCGTGACCACCGTAGGGGGTCCGTGAGTGGGTTGCTCCGCTCAGTTATCGCATACTGAGTGACAGACAAGTAGAATCACTATGATTGTAGATGTGGTCAAGCTTCACAGAAAACACTGATTGTGTTACGCACTACGCAATACCAAGCGTTTCAGAAATTGAACTGATTTCGAACATTTCTCTGAATAGCCCGAAGGAGTACGCTTTGAGAACACGAGCTGGTGAAGTAAGTTGTCACGACCTGGATGCAAATACACGTCTAATGATTTGCACGGTCAGAATGAAACCTCCCTACCTTGCACTAGAATCTGGACTGGCAGATTTGGTATTTAAACGAGAAATCCAGCTATTTGTAATGGTCCCATAATCACCACTACCTTCTTGCCATACGCATGCATGTATAGTTCACACACGTCCGAATTTATGCTAGGTACCAACAACTTTGATAACAACGAAATGGGTCCATGATTTGCTCGTTTACAGGCTGCCCAGAAGCAAGCATGTGGATTTTCTTTCGCCGTTCACAACCCGGGGTGTTTGGTTAACCAAAGCCCGATTAGCAGAATAGTGGTATAATGTATGAAAACCGTAATCCATTCGGGGGCCCGGGGGGACGGGTGGCTAGTGTCCCGTTCCACAAACGATACAGCCTTGATCGGAGCTCAAACGCCTAATTCAGCTTGTGCTCGCTGCTGCTATCACAACGTTGTAATTTCTGCATCTCTTCTAGGTTGATCTAGATCGGAGATTTTAGCTAGCTCCCCTAGGCGAATCGTCTACAGTTCACTGACCCGGTTTTAGTCTCATGTATAGGCTTTTCGTCCTCTCATTTTGACGGAGAAATGCCCTCACCATGTGAACGCAGAAGTCGGACAGACATACTCGACAGAGGCTATTTGAGACGCTTGGTCATATGGGAGTATTTCGCTAGGTATAAGGGAAGATGGATTAGTCGCATACAACCTGAGACATTCACTCTCGACCGTACTGAGTCCTTCGGAAACTGTTTCAACTGTAGTCACGTTAATTAAACTCTGTAAAAGTATCTGAATCGATGTTGAATGCGAAAAATCAGCCGGTTATTGCAAAATAGATTATGCATTTGATTGTTGATTTAGAGTACTTCAGAATCAAGCTATCGATCGTAGTCATTGTTTCGTTTTCTACTCCCCCACCCCTGTCATCCAGATTGGCCCTGATGAACCAGTGGCTCGCTTCTCACGCAGACGGGCATGCAGACACTCTCGGTCCGGACACGGACCGTATTGTGCTGACAAAACATCGACGAACTCCCAGTCTGGAACACGCATCGCGAGCTGGTTTGACCGAACGTCTGGAGCAAGTTGAACGCCGATTGAATCAACTAGGCATGCTCGATGCCGAACTGCAACGTCAAGTGTCCGTAATGAATGAGAACATGGCGCTCAACGAACGTCGTGGTCAAATCGTGACAGAGCTGCAGGTAAGCAAAATGCGTTATGATTACCGAGGTCAAGGAGGAGACGACGGACGAGTGGTATGATCAATACAAAGAGTGCTTAAACAAGTGCACCAAACTTAGAATGTTTTCTTTTTTATTTGTGAGAGAAAAATTGTTTTGGTGCATCATTCGTTCCTCAAACAATCAACTTTCGTGACACATTATACTCCTCACCAATCGACATTGATTGCGTTCGGGAATTTGCATCACATACTTTCTTGTGGTGAACAGTGGACGAGGTAAATGTCCCCAAGTCATGAAGAAGTACCATTCAGCTATGGTGACAACCGGCAACCCAGTCTTTTGTTCATAGCGCACAATGTGTGATGCACAATGGTAACACACACGCACCTTCGATGCAAACGGTCCGAAATTCAAAGTCTGGACGGGACACTGAATATGCACCGATTGATGAGTTCTAATAAGACCGAAACTCGAGTCTCTAATTCTTCCCAGTATATGGTGGACTAGAAGAACTGAGGATTGTACAAGAAGGTGAATTCCGAAGGAGAATCAGTTCAAGCCAATATCAATTATCTAACACAACTACTTGCATGTAACTTGAGTTAAACTTGAATGAATTTCGTCGATCGGTTGGCCGGTCGGTCGTCAACCTGTGTGTATTCAAATGTACGCACACTAAGGAACAAGATTAGTAGGTGATTGGAAAATTGACGTCAACGGACAGTTCTGCTTGCCTGTATCCAGTCTTATTTTGCAATTTGCCGGATGAATTTTTCCATTTAAATAGTAAAATATTTTGTCAAAATTTGTCACTCCTATATACCAGGGTTGAGCAAAACTTTTCCGGATGCACAGAAAAGTTTTGTTCGGTACACAAAAGTGAGCATTGCATTTTCTCGAAGTGTGTTCCACTAGCGTTCATGGACAGTTCCATGAGCTCAAACCATTTGGTGAAACAGATCGACCATACCGATAACCCTTCGATCTGTTCAATAAAGGTCTTCACTGCAGCTATTGTAAACTCGAGTCGGATTCCACGCATTGTGTGCTTGACTTTTGGGAACACGAAAATTCACACCGATTAAAGAGTGAGTGATCAACCTCCGGGTGCGTTCTCTGGACAGAAAATCGCCGACAGCAAGTTCCTTCGTGCTCGAGTCCTTGGACGCTACCTGGTAACCGCTCCTAGCGTTTTCGGTAAACAGTGGGTGATGTACCAGCCTCAGACGACTGTGCTTTACGGTACGTGGGGTAAAACAGCCACAAGACCGATTTTGGCCATGAATACAGCCACAATCTGCTTTGCCACACTGCGCTCGAGCTGGAATTTCTGAGGTGCGCTCAATCAACTGACGCCCAATGAGCCGATTTTTGTTTGATCTCTGGGTCGAAACTATACACCCAGGGTCATTACTGATGAGCTCCCAAACTGTATTGGAACGTCCACCATCAAACCTGGCTCGCATGGTGCAGCACCAGTTCACCCGAACCGCTTTTTGTTCCTCACTGAGCTGATGGGATACCCAGCGTGTGCAAACCTTTCTGAGGTCGAGCTTCTCATGTAGGATGGTGAGGATTGATCCCGATAAGATTCCGGTTGCTTTCGCCAGCTATTTCTCTGTCAACCTATGGTGATTCAGGCTTACGAGATGACGCCTACCGTGGAGCGGCGCGTCACAGTTTTCGGACACCCACGATCAATCAAATTTAAAGGGGACGTCAATGACGCGCATACGCGTCACGGCTTCTGACTACACGCCATAGGCAGATCGTACCAGCAAATCCGAGACAGTGCAGACAGAAGCAGAATTATACAAGCAGTACTGCAATACGATTGGTAGATACCTAGATAACCAATGATCTTTTGTACATATTTTTAATCGCCCTCATTTCTATCAGTAAACGAACTAAGAACTACCATTCTTTCCTCGTGTCTCGGTCACGTGGGATATTGAGAGCTCGTGCCTTTGCGGTCCAGTGCTTCCGTAATCCAGTTAGTGATAGCTGATCCTTGATCCGTGTTCTGTGAATCCTATTTCATGGTGCGTGTTCCCAGTTTCGTGCGCATCACGACAACAACAACAACAACTACTACTACTACTACTACAGTAGCAATGTTATCTGCTGTGATGGCCTCCACATGTAGACCACACCGTATCTCATCATCCACGGGCAGCCTGCCAAATTGAATTCCACAAATCACTCAAACACAGCACTTCTTGAAGGCGTGTTATCACTGAAAGACAGCTCGCAAACGATCAACTCTCTGCTGCGGCTGCTTGAAACCACATGTGTAGTCGTAAAACATAACCACTCTCCAGTGCAATTGACTGAGTTCCATCCTTAAAGTCCGAGCAGATAGCCACCCTCCTTTGACTTGTGAGCTGTGCTCGGCTGTGTTGATATTTGGTTCGGTGTGAGTTTGTAATCACTGGGGTACTGTTCACAATAGATTACAGTTCACGTTTTCCTTGCCCCCGGTCATCTGCACCTTGTACTCGTCGTGTACACTGCGTATCTCAAAAACGTTTTGCTCAGTCTTCGTATCTTATTAAATTTCACAAAAATACTGACAGTCGGTCTTTGTGCAGAATAGAATAGGGAATGGTTGTCGATTACGGATGAAAAACAAATTGTCTATGTAGTCATCATTATTTTTCCAGTGATCACAAGCTGTTCAATGTGTGGGTGTAAGCAGATTGATGCAGATCGACTAAGTTGTCCCCTCGACAGTACTTATAATAATAATGCAAATTGTAATATAGGGATGATGATGTAACCAATAAGATTTAATCAAAGTTTCACAACCTATGGACAAACAACTAACTTGAGGGAAAGTAGTTGTACGAATGGAGCGAGAGAGAGAGAGAGAGAGGTGGGAGAGCGCGCGCAATCGACATGCCAATGCACAAAAGCAGAGAGTACGAGTGTTCCGGACAGGGTGATTACTATCATCAGTATGCATCTATTGATCTCACAGTTATGATCGAATTCGAGGTTTCATAAACAGACGCACTCGGCTTATCAGTAACAGCTAATCAGACTGATTGACAGCCAGGCCGATAACTCGTCTTCTCTCTCTCTCTCTCTCAAACAATCTCCTTTCCCCCTTCTCGTGCTCTTGCGTTTCATATCCCAAACGAAGCCATGTGTTTTTGATTCACAAAGACAGGACAAATTGAATCGAGTTGATCGATTCGCATTCCGTTCGTTCGTCATCCACTTGTCTACAGCACACACAAACACCTGGTGGTCGTTTTTTATTAAAGGGCTATCGGTCATCCTTCTGCTCCGCCCCACTTCCTCACATCAATGAACAGATTACTGTGCTTGTCCTGTGGACAGTAGGTCAATCATTTGATCGCTAGATACGCGCCTAAAACACTTGCGTGGTCAATCCATATCCTTACTCATAAATCACAAGTGCCAAACACGCAGCGATCTGGCATAAAATGGCACATTGCCCAAATAAGAAAAGCAATCGAACCATCACACGCCTACTCTCGCTCGCTCGCTTCCTTCTCGCTCTTTACAATCCGGTAGGCCGCTATCCCCGAACCAGGTAGCACAAAAATCCTATGCTTTTGTCGGTGGATTTAGTCCGGTTGTTTTGGTGCCAGTGTTTATTGTATGTACATATATGTGTGTATGTGCGCGCGCATGAGATCAATGCATTCATTGATCTGCCAAACCGATTGTCCGACTGGGTACCTCCTCCCGTAACATCTCCGATAGACGGGGATACTGGCTGGCTTNCAGGATACACACTGGAAAACGAACAATCACCTTCGTGTGTGTGTGTGTGTGTACGTTTTGTTGTGCATATGTTTTGCACAAAGCGGGGAGAGGAATTTGGTCAGTAGTTGTGCCTGTGTGGAAAAAAAACCGAAGGGAGAAAAGAACAACGGTTTATAGCCTGTTTTTCCTAACAAGGCTAATAATCATTTAAAACCGGAGCACTTTGCCCCTCAGGTTTCCCTAAGACGCTCACCGAGGATGTGTACATGCATGCATGCATTCATGCTTTCATTTGTTCGAAATAAAGCGCGTTACACCGTGCACACTGTCATCACGGATGTGAACCCCAGCCAAAATTGTGTGTTTCAGTGTGGTTTGAGATAGGAAAATCGCGTAGCCGGTAAAAACAGTTGATCGTGCGTTTGAATTTGAATTGACCGATACACCGTGTGTATGTTCATGACTCTGTACTATTGCAACAAATGCATCACATGTTCGTATCGATCGCGAAATGATTAACAAACAGCAAGTGATTGTTTGGCAATAGGATTCGAAAAAAGAGGTATCAGAGGAAGCGGGATAAAGAGGAAACATTATTGTTTTTCATCGGATTCATGAAATTCGTTCAAGGGTGATCAAACAGTGACAGTCAACAACCTATCACCCCGAAAGACATGTTCCAAACCCAGCACCACAGTTGTCTAAATTTCCTTATTTTCTATTTACAGCAGCACTTTTGATTGTCCGCTTCTCCTTCCTGGCTAATTGTTCATATCATTATCGATTTACCCGATAAAAGAAAGTAAAATAGAACGGTAAAATAAAGGTTAATGACCAAAGAATTACCGGGCATTTTTTATACATGGACACAATTCGATTTGCATACAATTGTCTTCCGAACCCGACATAAATGATCAATTTCCATCGTCAATACTCATCGCTCCGAGTGTTGCCAGTGACATTGCTTGCATTTAAATCCAACACATTTGTTTCTTTCACGAGAGACTGATTATATGTAACGGAACTTTCCAAACAATCCTAACCTATCGCTCATACGACTAAGAAAATAATGTAGTGCATTGTGGAATTTATTTCACCGGACCCGATGAAACCGAGAATCTTGATTATCCGTCCGATAACGATTATCGATTACCTCCGATTTTCTCCGGTTCTCACCGAGTGGCCACTTTTAAACAAAGAATTTTTTAACAAAAATAAACCTTTCAAACAATGATTGAATGTAATTGGCTTTGAATTATGAAGTTGAGCTGCGTTACAATCGACAAATGGGACTAGAAGAGCACGACAAAGTGCATAGCTAATGTGACACCAATCGATGAACTTCTTGGGTCAAACGTGACCTAGATTTCTTAACTCGAATCAAAGAAATGCTTGTTCAGGAGGGCATTGAAGAGTACTGGTCAAATGGGATCTCGAAAAGAAACGAATTAAGTTTGGATTGACGAACGTGATAGATAAAGAAGAATACAGGCAGAATTTTGCATTGACCTGCGTTTTAAGCAAAGTAGAATAACTGTTACATTTGGATTCTGTAATGAATTTGAAGCGGCAAGACGTACTCACGCACACACACACAGATACACATGATAAAACTAAACTAGATTGCTCAATTTACTTCACTTGTTTATCTTGTTCAATATTATGCTTACACGACCGATGAGAGTATGTGAAAGGAATTCCTCTCCCTCTGTATTTATCTTCTAACTTGCCAGTTCAAAGTAGAATTCCGTTTTGATTGATCGATTGGAACCAACTTAACGGGGACTAAGTGATCGATACGACCGAGGGTCGAACCTTAGACCGCATATATACAAACAACACACTTAACTCGATCATCGGTCAGCTTATGAAACAGCTTCGTGATATATCTCGTTACAACTTTGTCAAGCTCTTGTCATTTGGTTCTACTACATCTCCAAGGGAGAAGTGATCCATTTTTCTCGCACACACGCGCATTTCTGAGCTTCCTGACATTCGTAGACGACCATAAATCAATCCATTGTATGTACTCATCGTGTCGGAATAAAAGTGTATCTATTACTCTACCCTAAACTCCCCATTCAAGTTCGTTGGTGGACAAATATATAGCAGATGTAGAAATCATCGATTTGTTTCATTTGTGTGAATTATTTATTCTCAGATGTTAATCCCCTAAAAAACAGCATATTTTGAACTGAACACGAAACAGTATTCCCCCGGTTTCTTTCCAAATGGTAGATTTATACGGAATTGAGCGATAGAATATCTCACGCTTTCGGCTTTAACGTGCGAGGAAAAATCCCCTGACCACAAACATACTCATTCTGAGCAACAATCAATCAATCAATCATTCAGCCAATCAATCAATATTACATCCAAACTTAATTTTTGTATTATATCATAATTATGGCTATTCTTTTTAACACTTTGTTGGACTAAGTAAATTGTGGTACGAAAATAGTTATAACAAAAGAATTACTCCGTGATTTTTTGTCTGCTGCGCAGTTACCAGGTCACCCGGTCTAAAACCGGTGATTTTTCACGGTTTCTTAGGAATTCGCGATCGATGTCTACGATTAGTCAGTCAAAGCTCAACCCTACACACAAGCGGGTTGTGTTCGTGAAAATTACAGTTCACTTGGACCGGGTGTCAAGTTTGTTGCAGTTTACTTTTTCGGGGCACAATACGCTAGTTCTCTCGATGGAGCCGGTGAGACATAGCGATTCGGATGTTCTGAGGTCCGTATGTACGCTTCATCGTAGGAGATTCAAATCAGGAGTTTCTAATCCCATAGATGAGCTGTATTTTTCTAATCACATTCCAGCGTGTCATAGACAACATACGTGGTAGAATCATATATAGTCAGGAAGACCTGCTGTTCACTGATTGTAGCCGGCAACCTAAGCCCCGGGACTTGAAAGTGGTGAACCAGACATTAGGCCCCCCCTAGGTCAAGCGTAGTAAAGAACCGGGTTAGAGCAAAGCTGGTGAGTGGCGGTGGCGGGGCTCGAATCTCGAACCAAAGCAAGCCGGTGACAGCGACTAAACCGACTAAAATTGTCGTCCGGTTCAAAAACACACCTGACCTAGCGAGGTCCCCCAGCGCTTTCACCACTCCAAGTCCCGGAACTTAGGTTACCGATTTCCATCACTGGACAGTAGGTCTATGTGACTATGCGACTCACCCCGTCTGCTTATCATCACACAAGTGTATCATAACAAAAGAATTCATGCACAGTTGTCTTCTATTGACTGGTGATAGATACATTCTGGTGGTTACAACGGTGCTTCATTCTTGACTGACTAATCAAGATGAAATATCTCAAGGATTTTTGGTTCTTCACATTTAACTTACAGTTACTTGTGAGTAGTGGTGTGGGATAATTGGTGGTGATTGATTTTGAACTGGCCATCCTTCAGATTTGATCTTCGCGCACAATCCTCAGTGCATCCGATCAACCACATGACGCTTATTTAACGGGCCGCACACCTCAAGGTCAACTTTTATGTATCTTTGAGTATATTTTCAGTTCTTTGATTATTAGGGATAATTTGTGAGTAGGCAAATAATTTATCAATTTATTTAAGCTAAATTTTTTTCATTAAGTGCTTTAATTACCGCGCACTGAATAAAAAGAAATAAACAGTATGAAATACCTGTGTTCAACTTAATAAATAATTTCATGAAACAGGAATCACTCGTTAGAAAGAATGAATTTCCATGCTACTTTGCATAAAATATTTTCCAAATCTGAATTATAACTTTCGAACTGTTACAAATTTCGTCGCGACACTCAATACCGCGTAAACTCAAACGGTGGTAGAACGGTACTAAGAATATATAAGTGGGAGAAAAAGTTAGGAATAAATACGCTACACTGATAGCTATCGATACACATGTGTAATATTGGAAACTGAAATGTATTTCCAAAATGAGTGTGATTTTACACAAGTTTGATCAACACCTGTACACTCGGAAGTACCAGAATAGAATTTCACTCTTGTTAGAGCTCATCAATAGTACATATATACCGTTCTATCCGGTTTGAACCGCCGGACCGATTGCATGAAAGATGTGAGCTTTACCAATGTGCCAAACAGCTCATACCCGGACTGAAGCGAATTGACAATTCTTGTTTGTTCACGTGTCGTCTTCGGCGATGGTCAGTCAGGGAGAGACAGTTGACTACTATCTGTTAACTCCAAACGAAAGCCTCCCAGCAAGTTAGGTCTTCCATAAGGGTCACGGGCTCAGTGGTGGCACAGTGATAACACATATGCCTCCCATGCGATGGTTTCGTAGTTCAAACGCCGGAAGGGACGGCGAATATGCATAACTAATGAGTTCTAACAAGAGCAAAACTCGAGTCTAGTGCTTCCCGAGTGTATGGCTGACTGGAAGAACTGAGGATTGTGCGTGAAGGTGAAGTCTGCCGGATGATCATTTCTAATACATCAGTTTTTCTTCGTTCTATTTATCAAAAATGGATGATTCAACACTTCGCGAAGTGAATCTTCCTTTCGTATCATTTCACGCCCCTTTGGCCAGATGTTACAAAATGAACTGAACACACTATCAACTCAAATGGGTGGTGGCACAAGACCATCAAACAACGATTTGACCTCCCTCGCGGATAGTGAATTGCACCAACGTTACCGACAGCTGCGAGACAGAGTAACTTCGTTTCGGTGAGTATTGATTGACATCGAAATGAATTCATGTATTTCAAAGCTACATCGTTTTTTTGTTTTGTTTTGTTTTGTTTGATTCCGATTGATCATCATGTGTGGCACCGGAGGCATTTTGTGGCTGGTCTCTGGTTAGCATGTACGTGTGTTTGTGTGTCGGTCGATCGGTCGGTCGACCGGCCAGTCATCTGGAATGGATGTAAGATATGTAGGACATGGATGATTGGCCGTGTTTTGTTTAACCGCTACCCGGAAACTCTGACAGATGGATCAGCCTGATTTTTCATTTGGGATTCATCCGTTTATATATGTTGCTCAAGTTATCTTTTCCTTATATGCATTTCTGCTTCATTGCCTCCGAAAATCATGCAAACAGACTTATCCTTCAAACCTATTTTGCCAGTTGTTCCTTTAATTTCCTCAACTCCCAGGGGTTTACGTCATGTGCATCCTGAATTCATTACGCAATCGCAGCTTGTACACCCACCAACCCAGACACAACACTACAGTGACAAAAGCACCGTAGGGTTGCTCTAATATCATCAGCTGTCCGTATCCACTGTGCCTGTCCGACTGGAATTCCGTCATGCTGTAGTAATCGAAGTAAGCACAGATCACGAATCACGAATCACAAAATCACGGAAGAAACTGAAACACTGAATCGCATTAGCACTTGCACGCTGTTAAGTCCGTCAACGGGAAGCAAGAAAAAGGTCATAGGAGTAGCATTTCGTTTATAGAACAAAATCAAAGGAATCAAGGTGTACACACGAAGTTTATTGGTTGTGCGGGTATCCACCAATGGCCATCTTGACGTCATACAGCTTTTCTGGGTGGCACGACTTCTGATTGGTCGGCACGATTGGTCTGTATTTCGTTGTCCAGAAACTGTAACGCGTACGCGCTTTACTGGTGTCATCTGATAGGATTAACTCACCCCACATGCCCAATTGTGAGTCTACCATCAATCTACCCGGGACTTCAGCCGCTACTCATCTGTCACTCACCACCTTGGGTGTTGATTATCGTCACAGCGAGGGAGATCGACTTAATGGGACAAGGTCTTTCCAGTAGTGGCCTATTGAGACTGAGCAGTCTAGGAGGCAATACTTGATTTATTTGACAAGTTAACCATTAAAATATATGGCGGAATCAACAACTCAACTCGTTCCGGTTTGAATTGTCAAATAGCTCCCAAGACCAGTTAAAAAATCTGTGCGTGACACATTGAATTTGTCACCAATCCCGTTAAAGAAAACACACTGCTCTGGCTGATTTTTATATTCAAAAAGAAAAGTGGATAGAAGTGGCTAAATTTAGTGGTCGCTTATCGCGTTCTCTATGAATTATTGAACTGCGTCTATCTGATTGGTCGGTCAAAACAATTTGTACATCTCGCTCCCCTCCCCTTGTGTTCATTTTAGACAATCCGTTCAGACTGCAACCCCGACGCATTTTTTGTCTCGGCTGAAACAACTCAACAGTTGGGTCTCACATCGCGATGCCGCGTTTCGTGCGATCATTTGCCCCCTACACGGTGATCTGTTGTTCATTATGAAAATGCGTGAACTCATGCTGGTAAGCACCTCTCGTTCTGTCTCCCCCAGTCTCTGTCTGTCTGTCTGTCTGTCTGTCTGTCTGTCTGTCTGTCTGTCTGTCTATCCGTCTGTCTGTCTGCCG